TCAACATCTGTCAACTCATCCATTTAACCATCATCTATCCATTTATTCAATCATCTGTCAACCCACCCATTTAACCATTATCTAACTATCCATCCATTCAACCATTGATCAACATCAACCCATCCATCTCTCACTCAACCATCTATCTAACATCAACCCATCCATTCAACCATCCATACATCCATCTATCCCACATGATAGCACACAAGAGAGGTTGCATGTGTTGTTGCTCTAATAGCTGATCATCCAGGCTAACAAGAAGAAAAATATGAAAAATTCATCTCATAAAAACTTTCTCCCTTATGATGATTTGTTAAATATATATTATCTAGACTTGCCTATTTTAATCATCTGACCTGTGATGACCTGTGTAGATCTGGGTAAGAGGCGACTAACAGGATCAGGTGGTCAGGCTCGCTGACTTGGTTGATGCATGTCATTGTATCCCAATTGCGTAGATCGATGCTCATGATGTCAATCACTGGATTGTCTTGTCCAGAATCGATTATTTACAGACCGCCGTCATAACAAACAAACAAACAAACAAACTGACCTGAGATAACTAGGATATGCGATTGCAGCCTTCACATTTGGTGGGCAGGACTATTCCTATCAAGTGATTGATCACACAGTACTGACTACACAAAGTAGCCATTGTGGCCAGACAATACCCCTGTGGGAATCCCATGTTAGAATACATCCCTATCAACTTATGCTTCTTGTATAAGGTGACTACATAAGTCACGTGGACAGGCTCTGTGACTTGGCTTATTGTGTGCAATAACACCTTGACAGCATGGTCATTTTCTCATAATATTAATCACTGGTTTGTCTGGTGAACACTTAATTATTTACAGGACGCCTTCATACAGCTGGATTATTGCTGAGCGTGGCATAAACAAACAATTAACAAAATATTCCCCATTCTTGTAGCCCTTAAAGGGAGACTATGCTCCATGATCTGGTGCCAATGTTTGGTCATGGTCTTGATGATATAATTTGTGATTTGTGTCAAAACGAGACATTGTATACATTGTATGTGTATAATTTGGGTACTAGCGCTATAAACATCATCAAATTTCAGTTTAGAGATGAAAGAATAAGGTTTTGGAATGACCACATTCAAATGGCTAGGACTGCCCACTGCCTAGTCTAGTCTCCCTTTAAAACAATCCCGACTAGCACAAGCCTCTTACAAAAGTATGCAAAGTTCCTTACAACACAAATGTGCACAGACAGCACCTTCAAAGATTAGAAAACCTATGTGATGGAGCTTACACCAACCGTACACCAATGAGATAGACTTCATACTCACTTTAGCTGTGTGATAACCTGAATACTGAAGACACACTGGAGATTTCAGATCTGAGATGTGTCCATGTGCAGTTGCAGCACCACAGAGGGGTGTACATCATGTAGCTGCCGATGAGGCACACAAAGACCTGACAGCCCCGTCTGATTAGCGGAGGCTGTATAAAGAGTAGATCCAGGTACGATAATTTGCTACTTGGCTCCTTGTTGAATCAGTGACTAACTTTGGAGAAGATTACCCTCTTATTGGACCAACTCAATCAGGGGGCTCGTTTGATTTTAATTACCTCCCTTGCATTATGTCAGTGTATAATTAGGCAAGGCTTTGTTAAATTAATGAAAGCTCATTTCGTTGTGATTAGTCTGATGAGACTGTAATTAGAATGAATGAGAATTTAATAATTAATAATTGATAATTTTAATTACTCTGTGCAAGAGCAAAGCCCCATCCAACACTAAAACCAGCAGCTTCATGCATACTTGATATACATAGGTCCATAGTCATTCAACATACTTAGTGAACAATTTAAAATCTTAAAGACACCACTATCTGTGATTAAGGCCAAAGTAATGTATGCTACAGTATTCTATGCCAATTAATTTGAGTGGATACTGGTATTTGTAAAATGCATAGCACAGATTCTGATGCAAGATTTCCTCAGTACATTGTAATTAAGTAGGGATTTTCAAACATTCAGTTCAAAAGTTCATGTAGTAAACCTGTTCACATGAGACTGGGTTTTGATGGAAGACTAATTAGGTACCAAATGTCTGAGTGCTGCTTAAGGTTGTTGAGGCTACATTCTTCATGAGGTCACATTGTTCGTGCAGCCACATTGTTCATGAGGCCACATTGTTCATGAGGTCTCACTGGTCATGCGGTTATATTGTTCATGAGGCCACATTGTTCATGAGGTCTCACTGGTCATGCGGTTATATTGTTCATGAGGCCACATTGTTCATGAGGTCTCACTGGTCATGCGGTCACATTGTTTGTGAGGTCATATTGTTTGTGATGCCACATTGTTCATGATGCCACATTATTCATGATGCCACATTGTTCATGAAATCACATTGTTAATGAGATCACATTGCTGGTGAGGTAATATTGTTCATGAGGCCACAATGTTCATGATGCCACATTATTCACGATGCAACATTGTTCATGAGATGAACATCAATAGATTTGGTGAGATATAGATTGTGTACCATGATATATGCAGTATGACTTGTTTCAAAGTTAAATCCAAAGTGTGACTTGTCTCGGGAGATTAAAGGCATTGACCACTTTGTCAAACCCATGTCAGACCAAGGACAAATTTGAAATTAGAGCCCAAAACCAGCAGATCCTGGTACCCAAGGGAAGCAACTCTGCACATCTCCTGTTACTATCCGCCACACAGACCAGACCCTAGTCTGCTGATCCATCAACTGAATGCCAATGCCAGCTTCTACAATACATCAGCAGCAATCTTCAAATAAAACCTCGTAAAACCTAATAAAACTATCAGCCAATTCAAAACCTGTACGATAAAATGTTCCAAATCAATTGACCTTTATTCTCCAGAAAGACTTGTAGCAAGTCTATAGCCGGAATCCCCATTGTTCCATTAGCCCACTGCTACACTGCATTAGCAGGGCCATATAACAGCATATATCACCAACATGCTTTAACATGAGCTTCATAAAAACATCCTACATGTCCATCAACTACTTCAAACTGATTGATGAATACACAATTTCAAGACGTAAAAGAAACCGCAAGTATGTTAGCGTGTAGCGAGTTGAATTAGTTGGGATGTCCCCTGGCTTATTTACACACAGAACAAAAAGCTCAGCTGTACTTAGGAGTGGAGGACCAATAAAGGAAATGTAGAAACACAATAAATTAAACTTGAAAGTTTGCTTGATATAATTATTGAAAGAAAATGTTTAAAACTTCAAGGGTATTGGTTGATTAAAACACAAGGAAGAAATGAGGTAATTGTTGAGTCACTGATGGTGTCACCTTGCCGCTGCTGATAAACAACTTATACTACAAGATTAAAGCAAGAACTGCTTGCTAAATTATCGCTTAATTCCATGTGAAAAACACATGATGAGAGGTTTAAAATTAAATTGATTTGTTTACTTATCTGCATGAGAAACAAGCTCTTGAAGTGGCACCAAACAAGGCTACTTGTCAAATTATGAGCAAAAACTACTTCTAAAGAAATTTGCTTTAAAGAATGCACTTCATAGTATATTCTTGACGAGTAGTTCTTCTGTCAACATATTTAATGATGATAATTCTTGTTGTTTGACATTCAACAATGGTTGGTTAAGTCAAATGGCAGTTTCAATATACATTAACAATAACGTTCACATACCAAAATGGTATACGTCAATACACTACACTACACAGCTGATGGATGTGCTACACAGTTATATATATATATGTTTTGATATATAATTTTGTTTTTTGTATGTGTCTACAGGAATGTAAATTATGTATGTCTGCATATATGTATATATGAATCATAATGTCTTGTCTTTTAAAATTGCATCTGTCCCGTAATGGAACGTTTCTGCAATAAATATTATCTTATCTTATATGTACAGCAAAACCTAACAAACATTCATTTCTTGTAATGGGATTTTAGAAAATGTTAATTACCCATTTATTTAATGCAGCCTTTTGAACTAATGCCTCTTTCCAATGTACCACACCCATGTTGCAGAGGAACACATTGCTTATTGAGAGAAAATTCAGAACAGCTCCACTCCCCACCCACAGATTCAGTCCTCTCCCTACCCCTCTTCCCACCCCACCCATACATTCAATACACCCCACCCATACATTCAATACACCCCACCCATACATTCAATACACCCCACCCATACATTAAATACTCCCCATCCACACATTTAATACACCCCACCCATACATTCAATACACCCCACCCATACATTCAATACACCCCACCCATACATTCAATACACCCCACCCATACATTCAATACACCCCACCCATACATTAAATACTCCCCATCCACACATTTAATACTCCCCACCCATACATTCAATACACCCCACCCATACATTCAATACACCCCACCCATACATTCAATACACACATCCACACATTCAATACACCCCACCCATACATTCAATACTCCCCACCCATACATTCAATACACCCATCCACACATTCAATACACCCCACCCATACATTCAATACACCCATCCACACATTCAATACACCCCACCCATACAATCAATACTCCCCACCCATACATTCAATACTCCATAACCCACCCATACATTTAAAAATCCCCACCCATACATTTAAAAATCCCCACCCATACATTTAAAAATCCCCACCAATACATTTAAAAATCTCAACCAATACATTCAATACTCCCTACCCATACATTCAATACTCCCCACCAAAACACCCTCTTCTCCCCCACAAATGGGACCACCACCAAACAACAACAATCCCCCCCCCACACACACACACCTCACCCTCATCGTGTTCATTATCTGCCTCTGCCTCTTCCCTCCTCTCCATTACCTCTAGGAAAAACCTAGCAATACAATTAACTTCACCGAAAGGTTGCCAAAGTCACAAACAAGTGCTTGAAAGTCACTCCCAAGCAGACACAACATAACACAAACACAACACAGCATACACAAGCAGCACCTACCTGTCACTCCACTGTTGTCCAGTCTCAGCACTTCCTCACCAGTCAGCTTGCTTTGTGGGGACAGTTTTCCGTTCATATTGCAAATGGGATCTGTAACATGGGGAAACAGAACCACCATACATTACAAGCCATTTCAATTTTTAAGAATCTTGTCAGCATCATTATTTGACACACTGGCAAGCAAGAGTGAGACCATGACTGTTTCAACTCAAGAAGGACCTGGGACCTTGCATAAACACATCGCCACTTAAAGCTGGCTAGGGTGTAGATATGCCACTGTAATCATAGCAAACCACTAAATGTACTTCAATTACATTGTAGCCATACAGCTAAATGCACCTCTATTAGCAATGTGGCCTACAGACATATAATACAGGATTGGGTTTCGCCAATCTCAAGTCATGGGCGCTCTCAGGCCTTTTAGCCAATAAATCCTGCACCCACTAGAGAGAAAGAGAGTGGTTCACTTCACTACAGTGTAACAGGCACTTGATGCCATCTATTCATGGTCAGGGCGAGGCTTTGTGATACATGGGCCCTGAACAGGCATATGATAGACATTCAATACTGGTACCACTTTATAACATTAGAGATAGAAAGACAATAGACACTATGAACGAGTTCTCCTTTGTCAGTATGTGACGCCCTTTTACGGTCATCATCAATTAATGAATATTGGTGATTTTTCAGGGCAAAACTTTGAGAAATACTCTCACTACCCTAATGATAGACTAACATCTAGTCTCTGAAATGAACATATGATACAGAAAAAAAACAGTTGTTAAATTTTCTTAATAAAAATTTAATAAAAAGGAGCCCAGAGACTCTCTGCAGTAATCTAGACTTGCCAAACATTATAGACTTGCATGGGCTGTATTTGATACATTTGTATCAGGGTTTGTAAGACAGACTACCCTAATGATTAGGATAATTGATATTAAAACTATGCCTAGTAAAGTGTGTTTCTCAGCACATGGATATCAAAACTGGTTCTCTTTGTAGTAACAATGAAGACAGAGCTGACTTACAGATTTCAACTTCATTATTTCAAAGTGACATTTCCATACACGAGTGAAACTATCCAGCACACTTGCTTGATAAAGATAACAGTACCTGTAGGGAAACATGTCACAGAAATAATAAGGAAGTTGAAATCCTAAAGTAAACTCTCTCTCTCCTTGTAGATTGACAGTATTATCCCCTAATCATATTTAGGTTAAAAAACAGGTGAAATTGATACTGAAAGTGTATGTTTCCTTATCCACATCTGAGTAAGATGAACAAGGAAATATAAAAGTTGAAATGAGGTTGAACTAACCATAGCCCAAACACCAATACTTTAAAATAAATATAAATTGGATGGTATCACTTGATATCTGTGGCATGAAAAACATAAGATTTTATCAATTCTTTATTTGATGAGATAAGTGGAATACTATCCATGTCTATAATACTGTCTTGGGGTGAAATTCAAGATCGTTTCACATATATAGCGACCTGTGTCTGTTTGTGTGTCTGCTTGTACTAGTGAGTGAGTTTGATTTTACGCCACTTTTAGCAATGTTCCAGCAGCATCACGGCGGGAGACACCAGAAATGGGCTTCACACATTGTACCCATGTCGGGAATCGAACCCGGGTCTTCGGCGTGACGAGCGAACGCTTTAACCACTAGGCTACCCGACCGCCCCGCTTGTACTAGTTTGGACTAGCTTGTACATGCCGCAGTTTAACATGGATATACCTACTCTGACAAGTTTTACTGAATCTGAGCCAACCAGTATTATTTTATTGTGTAATGCCGATGGTCAGGAAGATAACAAGTACCATCTTTTAACGTCTTTCGCTAAACACGGCCAGGGTATCAAACCACTGACCTGCTCACCAGACAGATACGCTATCCACTTGACCACAGAGGCGGTCCATATCAATAGTCTCCGATGCATTATCATCAAAGTCTATGTATAATGTATACATTGTCATATATCTTCACATATGACTGAAGAAAATAATGATCACATGCCACAATAGCTATAAGCAGTTCTGTAATATTTCACCTGGTTCAATCCATGAAGATTACGACATAACACTGACAACTTCTTGGTAACCAAACAAATATACTACCTTTCTCAAGTAGTTTCCTGTGAGGATAAAAGCTTTTGTCTTTGATGTTAATGTCCTTCCATTTGAGCAGGCTCAAGAATATTCAGCAGTGAGAGACAAGTACTGAACTGCATTTGCTTCTCTGCGATGTATATAGCTTTCAACCCAAGAAACATCAAACTAGAGAATTAGATTGCCGAGAAATTAAATATTAATTATATGCGGACATTATACGGTGGTTTGTCAATTAACTTAGTCTAACTGGTGGTTTCTCATTACGAGCATTAAGTGTTCTGGCCAAAGATATGCTCTCTCCATTAAAAAAGGCCCCATCAACGTGTGAGGGACTGCTGAGATGCCATTAGAGGCCTTTGACTCCAGGACCCCGCAGTCGAAGAATCAGTAAATAGTGACAATAGAATTGCCAGCTAAATGTACCTCAATTAGAAAACAACATTGATGCTGGTTTAGGTTTCACAACTAAAAGCCCTGATCTGATGGTCCACACAGATCCAATTAACAACTCCACTCAAGCGAATGGAGGGCCGAGACACGAGAAACTGATACACGTAGCAAGATAGACTTTTCATCTTTTGATATTAACTGTTAAACTTTGACAAGAACAGTTAATATTTAGTCTTCATGATTGCAAATAAATATCTTATTTGAGAAACAGAAAAGATAGAGAATAAAATTCAACCATTGTTGACAATAAAACAATACCTGTTTCTTTCATAAAACCTATTGATAGGTTTTCATACAACTAGTACACTCGAGGTCACTCGAATTTTAGTTAACATCGCTCTGCAGAAATAAACATTAGCTCTGGGATTATCATCATAAATTTAGGCTAATATATTGGTTTGATTTCTGATGAAAATGATAGTAATGAAAACAATAATTTGAGTTCACATTTCAAACCTTCAAGATGACAAATTCTATGATGAATTAGTGGTATTCCGCTACACATATTCAGTAAAAGACATCAAAAGTTGCCTTCCAAACAAGAAACAAACCATCTGGCTTGTCTTGAAATCAAATTTTGACTGAGGTACTTCAGTAAATGAAATTACTTGTTCAACTATGGGTTATTAAAAATGATCAAATATCATGGTGCATCAGGAATTCAGAAGAGAAGTAAGAGAACCTCATTTCCAGGGACACTTAATTGAAATGAGATATGATCATCAATTATCAGAACTCTTTCCCCAAGGAATTTCTAGACAATGTATCTCAAAGGAACGTGACCATGACTATAAGAAGCAAAATAATTCTTGCATCTGTTTTCTCTTCAAGTAAAATACAAAATGGTGTTGAGGACGTTTCCCATGAGGTCAAATCTTCAAAGTAGTTTCTAATCATGATGAAATACAATGATTTTAGTTGTAATTTCTCTTTTTTATGACCCTTTGGAATTTTTTATATTTCTTTGCATACAACCCTCTTTACAAAACAGTTTCTTGTGAATTAAGATTATATTTGGAACATTTCACTTCAGGGTGTTTACAAACTAGAATTTAGAATTTACAGTGTGAATTTTTTTTAACTGTGTCTAGAATTACAAAGAAGACTCAACAAGCAATTAATATAACAGTTTTAGCAGACTGTCTGGGAAAAACGACAAGAATTTGATTATGAACGTTCATGAAACTAAACAAGTGAACAGGAAGTCATGTGATGTGTTTTTTACAAAGGTCACACCTTATCCAATTACTGACTAATTCTCAAGCTATGATACACATTTCATTACGTGAGGCTTTTTTCTGTTGACAAAGGGAACAAAACAACACCTTCAAATTCTGGTGACAAAAAGTTTAAATGATTTAATAAAGACTCACCCACAAGGCTGTCGCAATGGAAAAATTAAGTTCTCATTTTTTACAAAACAGTCCCTTGTAATTCTCAGTGGAATGACACACGAGTGACAACTTTCATGGGAAAAGGTAATTTTCTAATTACAAAGCCTAGTCTACTGACGGGATCCTATTGGGGATAAACTATTGTTCGAGGCTGTGACACTTACACTTTTTTGTGTTGTCTTTCTGGAACAGCTATTTGTGTTTGAAGCAATAGAAAAGAATTATTGAGTTAAAGCAGAAAATCAAATAACCGGTTTTACCATCAAAACTGACAGACAAGTAGTCTCTGTAGATTCCTCGAAAAGACAATTAACGCTCCAGTAAATGCATTTGATTGAAAAAAGAGGAAAAAATCACATTCCATGTGCAAAATAATAAGAAGCGAACACATCCTTTGACACTACGAGATTAGGTCAGGTGACTCTACTGTCAGATCTGGTAAGGGAAACTAGAAGATCATCATGGGATATCAATGATTATGTGTCACGCTACAGTGTATACGGTAAACGAGGAAGTTCACAATATGCTAATTCTTACTTTGATGTTACCAGTTGGAATATCTTCCCAAACCACTTCATGCATATTCATCCCACTAATGCATGTCACAAATCAGCTTACCAACTTTGAACTTCTCAAATTTGATGTAAAATTATTCTATTTATCTTGACGAAACATCAAATTACCATTTATAGGCACTTTTATTTGTATTGCTTGCTAATATAGACTGCAGGGTGAGCTTGGGAATAATTGAAACAAAATGGAATTGAAAGCTAATACTACTGTCACAAGAAGATACGTTTTAACTAAAACAGTTGAACACTGTCTGTGAAACAATTTACAGAATGTTTAGAACTGTAGGGTACAGTTCAGTCCGGTTCACACTTATCTCCATTGTCATCATGTTGAAATTGTACTAGTCAACACTATTACGCTTTTATCGTTTAAAACTAAACAATACTGTTTAACTCTATTGAAATTCATCTACATTAATTGTAATTGTTTTGTAACCAATTCTGACCAATTTGATCAACAGATCATGAATTTCATACTCAGATTTTCTACCTGTCTACTTTTCCCTTCAGTTATTTGACCCAATATCAACAATAAATCACCCACTGGCTACAAATCTC